TTGAGAAATTCAGGGGAGTCTGAGCAGAATTTGGTTAAGGAGATAATCTTTTTCACCACCCAAGACCTGGGATACACACCTGGATGAAAAGATGAATAATCACCTTTAGATCATCTTCATAGAGAGCTCAGCATCTGATGTAAGTGATTTCTCTACTGTGCCCAAGGAGATCTAGAAGAGAATGGGAGGATGAGGATTCAGGGATGCTGGTACTCACCTGGCTCTGCTGGTACTGCCCTGCCTTCATGTTTCACATTTTGGGCTCTTTCTAAGCTTTTTGTGTGAAGACTTTTACAAATCCAAGGACAAATGGATAAAAGTAGAATATTATGTATAGCTCAGTAATACACTGTTTATTTTCATGGTCTATTTTATTTTTGTTAGTTTGTTTATTTTGAGACATGGTCTTGCTCTGTCACCCCGGCTGGCGTGCAGTGGTGCAATCTCAGCTCACTGCAGCCTCAACTTCCTGGGCTCAAGCAGTCCTCGTGCCCCAGCCCCCCAAGTAGTTGGGACTACAGGTGTGTGCCACCATACCTGGCTAGTTTTTTTTGTAGAGACAAGGTTTCACCATGTTTCCCAACTGGTCTCAGACTCCTGGGCTCAAGCAATGCACCCGCCTCTGCCTCCCAAAGTGCTGGGATTATTTACAGGCATGAGCTACTGAGCCCAGCTTTATATTTTTAGAGATAGGATCTCACTCTGTCATCCAGGCTGGAGTGCAGTGGCACAATTACAGCTCAATGAAGACTTGACTTCCCCTATCTCAAGTGATTCTCCCACCTCAGCCTCCTGAATAGCTAGGACTGTGAGCACAGGCCATCACAGCTGGCTAATTTTTTTTTACTTTTATTTTTTGTAGAGACAATGTCTTGCTTTGTTGCCCAGGCTGGTCTCAAACTCCTATGCTCAAGCATTTCTCCCATCTTGGCCTCCCAAAGTGCTGAGATTACAAGTGTGAGCCACCATGCCAGGCCTTTATTTTACATATATATATATATATGGTGAAACAATGAAGAATATATATTTGGTCCTTGTGCCTAGTTGCTCACACAAAGCTTCTGAAACATTTAGAATTTAGAATTTCCTGAGTGATAAGAACATTGTTTGTTATTCATAACAAGCTCCTTTCAACAATAGAACACATGCTAATGAGATGAGGTTGAGAGTATGACCTATGAGGAGGTGTGCTACATTCGAAAAGAGCCTCATGAATTTTCTAATTTATTTAAACAAAAATCTGGACAACAGACATGGGAATGGATATTAAGGGTGTGGGATAATGGTGGAAGGAACATAGAGTTGGATCAGGCTGAGTTTATTGATTTGGGCCCACTAAGTAGGGACTCTGCATTTAATGTTGCAGCTTGGGGAGTTAAAAAGGTTCTAATAGTTTATTTGCTTGGTTAGCTGAAATATGGATTAAAAGATGGCCCACTGTGAGTGAACTGGAAATGCCTGATCTCCCTTGATTTAATGTAGGAGAAGGGATCCAAAGGCTTAGGGAGATTGAGATGATGGAGTGGATTAGTCATTTTAGACCTACTCATCCCAGCTGGGAGGGTCCAGAATATATATCCTTGACTAATGCCTTGCAAAATAGATTTGTGAAGGCAGCACCCGCATCTTTGAAGAGCCCTGTAATTGCTCTTCTCTGTATGTGAGATCTAACGGTGGGAACCGCAGTCACTCAACTACAAAATTTAAATACAATGGGAATAATTGGATTCCGAGGTGGCAGTGGCCAAGTGGCAGCACTCAACTGTCAAAGGCAAGGTGGACATAGCTACCGTAATGGACAGCAGAGGCAAAGAAGCAATCAGAATAGTCTGACTCACATAGAGCTGTGGTATTGGCTAATTAATCACAGTGTTCTTAGAAAATGAATTCATAGGAAGCCTACTGCATTCTTACTTAATTTATATAAGCAGAAAACTTCTAGGTCAAATGGAAAAAAGACTAATTTGAATTATGAAAACAGAGAATCATGGCCCCTCAATCAGTTTCCAGATTTGAGTCAGTTTACAGACCCAGAATCCCTTGAATGAAGGGGAGGCCATGTCCCCTTAAGGAAGGACCCCACTACATTACGAACAATTTATGCAGTGAATCTTTCTCCCATCATTCCCCCAGGAGACCTTTTAGCAGGGTAACTGTGTAGCCTTTTAGCAGGGTAACTGTGAATTTGGGAAAGGGAAATGATCAGACATTTAGGGGACTACTGGACACTGGCTCTGAGCTGACGTTGATTCCAGGGGACCCAAAACATCATTGTGGTCCTCCAGTTAAAGTAGGGGCTTATGGAGGTCAGGTAATTAATGGAGTTTTAGCTCAGGTTCTAGTTACAGTGGGTCCAGTGGGTCCCCGGACTCATCCTGTGGTCATTTTCCCAGTGCCAGAATGCATAATTGGCATAGACATACTTAGTGGCTGGCAGAACCCCCACATTGGCTGGTAGAATGAGGGCTATTATGGTGGGAAAGGCCAAATGGAAGCCATTAGAGCTGCCTCTTCTTAGAAGAATAGTAAATCAAAAACAATATTGCATCCCTGGAGGGATCATGGAGATTAGTGCTACCATCAAGGACTCGAAAGATGCAGGGGTGGTGATTCCCACCACATCCTTGTTCAGCTGTCTCCCATTTGGCCTGTGGAGAAGACAGATGGATCCTGCAGAATGACAGTGGATTATCGTAAGCCTAACCAAGTGGTGACTCCAAGTGCAGCTGCTGTACCAGATGTGTTTTCATTGCTTGAGCAAATTTACACACCTCCTGGTACCTGGTATGCAGCCATTGATTTGGCAAATGCATTTTTCTCCATTCCTGTCCATGGGCTCCTCCTACCTTTAAGTCAACAGTCCAAGAAGGCAGTTACAGTGTTGGCTGGGGTTATTGACCTAGACTATCAAGTCTCGGTCTACTACTGAAATCAGTCTACCACTCCACAATGGAGTTAAGGAAGAGTATGCATGGAATACAGGAGATCCATTAGGGTGTCTCTTAGTGTTACCATGCCCTTTGATTAAAGTCAGTGAGAAACTACAATAAGCCAATTCAGGCAGGACTACAAATGACCCAGACCCTTCGGGAATGAAGGTTTGGGTCACTCCACCAGGAAAAAAACCATGACCTGCTGAGGTGCTTGCTGAAGGCAAAAATAATACAGAATGGGTAGTAGAAGAAGGTAGTCATCAATACCAGCTATGACAACGTGACCAGCTGCAGAAACGAGGACTGTAGTTGTCATGAGTATTTCCTCCTTCTTTCATTAAAAACATGTTTGTGCCTGTATATGCTTGTACTAAGACAATATCTTCATTTTATTTCCTTTTTCCTTTAGCATGTGACATAAGATTTATTTACTTCTCATCGGCATTTAGGTATTGTTAACTTTATGAAATAGTATTTGGGTTGCGGATTGTTGCATTTCCGGTTGTGCAAAGGATAGTTGTATTATGCTAGGCATAATTATGACCTTATTATTGTCCTTATTTGAAGATTTGTATGATCTCAGGAGATGTATATGGGCTCAGGTTGACAAGGGATGGACTTGTGATGGTTAATACTGAGTGTCAACTTCATTGGATTGAAGGATAGAAAGTATTGATCCTGGGTGTCTCTGTGAGGGTGTTGCCAGAGGAAATTAACATTTGAGTCAGTGGGCTGGGAAAGGCAGACCCACCTTATTCCGGGTGGGCACAATCTAATCATCTGCCAGCGTAGCTAGAATATAAGCAGGCAGAAAAATGTGAAAACAGAGACTGGTGTAGCCTCCCAGCCTACATCTTTCTCCCGTGCTGGACGCTTCCTGCTCTCAAACATTAGACTCCAAGTTCTTCAGTTTTGGAACTCAGACTGCTCTCCTTGCCGTTCAGCCTGTAGACAGCCTATTGTGGGACCTCATGACCGTGTGAGTTAATACTTAATAAACTCCCATATATATATGGAAGTTATCATATATGTAGAACTGGAAGTTTTCATATCCACCTGGACACACTGGGCTCTCTATATTTATTCCATTAATTCTGTCCCTCTAGAGAACACTGACTAATACAAGCTCACACTTGTAATTCCAGCACTTTGAGAGGCTAAGTGGGGACAATCACTTAAGGCAGGAGTTTGAGACCAGCCTGGGAAACATGGCAAAACCCTGTCTCTTCAAAAAATACAAAAATTAGCTGGGCGTGGTGGTGCACACCTGTAGTCCCAGCTACTCAGGAGGCTGAGGTGGGAGAATCACTTGAGCCTGGGAGGTTGAGGCTATACTGAGCCATGATTGCACTACTGCACTCTAGCCTGAGTGACAGAGGAAGACCCTGTCTGAAAAACAAACAAACAAACAAAAACTAAAAAAACCCTTAACTGACGGGGTTTGAAGAGCTCCCAAGTTGGTGACCACATTAAGTTCTTGGGACAGTGGTACACCAGGAGAGGGCATGGAGGCTTTGCACCCCTCCCCCGATGCCCTGCTCAATGCATCTCTTCCATTTGGCTATTCCTGAAGATAATCCTTTATAATAAACTGGTAATGGTAAATGAAGCACTTTCCTGAGTTCTGTGAGCTGTTCTTCCAAATTATTAAACCCAAGGAGGTGCTTGTGGTAAAGGGGAGGGAAGACTTTTCCTCTACCTTCTTAGGTTTTGTGGCTGTACCTAAGGATTAAACTGAGAAAAGGCAGGTTAACAGGAGATAAGGATACACATTTTATTTGACATTCACACTTTTACATGGCAGGGGAACCTTCATAGAAGAGAAATGAAGACCCAAAGAAGCCGACAGACCTGAGCGCTTACATACCATGTTAACAAAGAATGATAAATTGTAGAGCTGTGACAAGACAAGGCAAAGGGTCTTGGGCTATGCACAGTGAACTGTGGGAAAATGACTAGGAAATATATGGTGAAAATTAATGGAAGATAAGACTTATTTTAGTGTTTGTACAGATTCATCTCAGTTTCCATGCCTCACTTCTGTTGATAAGAATGTTCTCAAAAAGTAAAGGAAACCAAGATCTGCGCAGGGATTTCCTCTGCCCATTCCTCCCACCTCACCCTTCAAACCTAAACTTGAGCCTGTTGCTCACTGGGCTAGCATTGCTCTCACCATGGCTCTCAGCAATGCTGATGTGCAAAAGCAGATAAAGCATATGATGGCTTTCGTTGAACAAGAAGCCAATGAGAAAGCAGAAGGAATAGATGCAAAGGCAGAAGAAGAGTTCAACATAGAGAAAGGTTGGCTTGTGCAAACCCAAAGACTAAAGATTATGGAATATTATGAGAAGAAAGAGAAACAGATTGAGCAGCATAAGAAAATTCAGATGTCCAATTTGATGAATCAAGCAAGACTCAAAGTCCTCAGAGCGAGATGACCTTATCACAGGTTTGTACCAGTTGCTGGAGCCCTGAATGATTGATTGTTGCAGGAAACAAGATTTCCCTCTGGTAAAGGCTGCGATGGAAAAGGTAATCCTTATGTACAAAATTGCCACCAAAAAAGATGTTGATGTCCAAATTGACCAGGAGTCCTGCCTGCTGGAGGACATAGCTGGTGCAGTTGACATATATAATGGGGATCGTAAAATAAAGGTTTCCAATACCCTGGAAAGCTGGCTGGATCTCATAGTCCAGCAGATGATGCCAGAAGTCAGGGGGGCTTGTTCAGGGCAAATGCCAACAGGAAGTTTTGGACTAAGCCTTCGGGAGGTGGAGCTCGTCCTTAGCTCTCCTGCTGTGATGTGGAAGCTTCTGATATTTGAAGAAACACAAATGTCTCTGTAGCTTCCCCTTTACTGCCCCAGTATTGCTCTGTATTTATCAGTGATGCCCCTCTGTCACCAATGCCTTGCCTAATTGTTCACAGTGGTGGAAAGCTTCATGTAATATGATCAGGACTCACCTCCAGTTCAACTGAAAGTAAAAAAAAAAAAAAAAAAAAAAGAATATACTAATCTGCCAGATACAAAGAAAGAACATTTCTCATGGGAAATTTATGTCCTGGTGTTTTTTGTTTTTTTTTTTTCTTTTTTTACAGAATTTTGCTCTGTCACCCAGGCTGGATGGAGCACAGTGGTGTGATCTCAGCTCACTGCAACCTCCACTCCTCAGGTTCAAGTGATTCTCGTGCCTCAGCCTCCTGAGCAGCTGGGATTACAGGCACACACTACCACACGTGGCTAATTTTTGTATTTTTAGTAGAGTTGGGTTTTTGCCATGTTGGCCAGGCTGGTCTCAAACTGCTGGCCTCAAATCATCCACCTGCCTCAGTCTTCCAAAGTGCTGGGATTACAGGCGTGAGCCACTGTGCCTGGTCTATGTCCTGTTTTAAGGTAGAAAGGTGTAGATCAGAGAGCCCTTCCTACATCTGCTGTCTCTCAAGCACCTTCAGGTCGAAATAACCAATATGCCAAAGTGGCATATTTTGGGTGGCATGTTCTGGTTCACTTCATGGGGAGCCCCTGATTTATAGCTGGTTGGTCAGAAATACAGGTGGAAACCTGGGAGTTGCAATTGGCATCTGAAGTTAGGGCAGTCTTGTGGGACTGAGCCCTTAACCTGTGGGGTCTGTGCTACTGCCAAGTAGTGAATGGCAGAATGGAGTTGAATTGTAGTACTCCCCGTTGGTATGTAGAGAATTAGAGAATTGGCTTTGGGTGAAAGAAAAAAAAAATCGCACACTTGGTGGCCGAAGTGAGTAAAAACAGCTCAGATATATCTGTATATCTACATCTGTATAGATATATTGATATATTAGCCTTTTTAAGGTATCCGTCCCTGTAATTGGGAGTTGATGAAAAGCATAGAAGAAGAACATGGACTTTGCATTTCGCTAAGCCCAGGTTTGAATTCTGTTTCTCACATTTCCTGGATGTGTGACCTTCAGCAGGTCACTTAAACTTTGTGAGTCTCAGATCCCTCATCTCCATTACTAGCTTCACAGAGTTGTTGTATTACATGAAATAAGGTGGGCAGGGCAGGGTATACAGCTGGCGGGGGGCGGTGGCGCTGACTTAATGAAGTCAGCCCTTAAGATTGAATCTTTAGCATAGAGGGAGAAGGGAAGGATGAAGGTCCGAGGAGCTGGATAGGCCCTTCTACTTCTGGCATCCAGCTTGTGTAGCTAGGCCAGCCCATTCAGCCCATTCATTGTCCACTAGACTTTATTCTAAGTCAGACTCAGAGCTACAATGTGTGAGAAAACTGTGTGGTGTTTTTACACTTTCATGGATGAGCACCTTTCCATGCTGACACACTGTAGCATGGAAACTGTACAATTTGTTATTAGCAGGTTTATCAAATCCCTGGTTGTTCACCAGGTCTCCTGTCACACTAATTAGGGCATCTAACTGGTGTTGGTTGCCTTAAATGCATATTTATCCTTGTCCACAAGCATAATTATTCTTGGCTTTTTTTTTCCCTTCAACATGTATAGGAAAATAAAAACACATAGAAAAATAATGTAGTAAAACAGATTGAAGTTTGATGACATTTAAATTCCTAGAAACACCGGGCGTGGTGGCTCACGCCTGTAATTCCAGCACTTTGGGAGTCTGAGACGGGTGGATCACGAGGTCAGGAGATCGAGACCATCCTGGCTAACACGGTGAAACCCCATCTGTACTAAAAATACAAAAATTAGCCAGGCGCGGTGGCGGGCACCTGTAGTCCCAGCTACACGAGAGGCTGAGGCAGGAGAATGGTGTGAACCCGGTAGGCGGAGCTTGCAGTGAGTGGAGATTGCGCCACTGCACTCCAGCCTGGGCGACAGAGCGAGACTCCATCTCAAAATAAATAAATAAATAAATAAATTCCTAGAAAATTTGCAAGTGATGTTAAAATTAGTGAAGAATTTGTCCTGTGCTGATGTGCAGGGCTATTCATAGAATAACACTTGCCCCCCACCTGTTCTCTACTTTCATTCCCAAAAGTACCATCTGACACTTGGGTGTGGGGGCTTTTGACAACACAAAACTACCACTGTCACAAGGAGCCCCAGTTACATTACAAGATAGAAAACACTCCCCTTTTCCATTATGTCAACAGTGATGCTGTATGTTTTCTGTTCTTCCAGCTGCTTGTTCCCTGAGTCAGGTGTTGCTATGTATATAGGGCCCCAGTGGTTCACCTCAGAGACATTCTGCAATATGTGTCCTAAAGCAAGAGACAGGCCCAAACCTACCCGACCATCTATTTGATAATAGTCATTGCTAGAATCTTTAATATGTTACTAATGATGATGTCATGCCTAGAGCAGCGGCACCCGATAACTACTGAGCACTTAAATAAAGGTAATTATTAGGACTAACTCCAAACCTCTTGGGTAAAAAAGCCTAGGGGATATTTTTGTCAGGTGATACAGGTGCCCATGGTCCAATCAACTCAGTCATCTGAACAAAGCAAGCTCAACATTGGAAACCACTTCTAGTAAAAATACTTAAATTATCACATTTGTAACAGGATTCCTAATTAGACCCCACTTTTCTGAATATATAGAGGAAAAGATGCTTTTCTTTTTAGTATACATATGTTCTTATATGGGCCACAATTAGCACTTTGAATTGCCAAGGCTGATCTCAAACTTCTGGCCTCAAGCAATCCTCCTGCCTCAGCCTCGTGAAGTGCTTGGATTACAGGTGTGAGTCAACATGCCATACCTGAATTGTACTTTTTACATTTAGATGAAAGAGGATGGTTATTAAACTCTAAATGAACAATGCAGATGGGAACAGAGTGACAGGATTGAACTGTATTAGTAGCAAAAGCTCTTTTTTTTTTGAGATGAAGTCTCACTCTGTCACCCAGGCTGGAGTGCAGTAGTGCAATCTCGTCTCACTGCAACCTCTGCCTCCCAGGTTCGAGCAGTTCTCCCTGCCTCAGCCTCCTGAGTAGCTGGGATTACCGACACCTGCCACCATACCTGGCTAATTTTTGTAGTTTTAATAGAGACGGGGTTTCTCTATTTGGCCAGGCTGGTCTCGAACGCCTTGGCCTCCCAAAGTGCTGGGATTATAGGCATGAACCACTATGCCTGGCCACAAAAGCTCTTGAATGGATTGGTTTATTAACCACTTAGTTTCAGTTTCAGGTACATTCTAAAACAGCATTACCTTTTGGTAATGATGGAGATGTTCCATATCTTGTCTAATCATGTCTAATACAGTAGCTATTGGCCACCTGTGGCCATTGGGCTTTTCAAATGTGGCTAGTGCTGCTGAATAACTGAATTTAAGTTTACATTTAAATAGACACAGGTAACTAGTGTTTTCAAATATTCACTGCAGCTCTAGAAAAACAGAAAAGACCTCACAGGCTTTAGTGGTACGTTTTGAAATATTGGCATAAAATTAAATAGACAAATCCCCAAACAGATTGAAACATAGTTTAACAAAATCTAAACTGAACCAAAGTTTAGTAATACCATAAAAGCCTTTATAAAATGTCTTTTCTATTATTCTAGAGCTGCGGTGAATATTGGCTCTCCATATTCGTGAGTTCCACGTTCATAGATTCAGCCAACAGAAGACAGAAATCATACTAAAAAAGAATTGAATCTGTGCTGTACATGTACAGACCTTTTTCTTGTCATTATTCCCTAAACAATACAGTATAACTATTTACATGACATTTTTTGTTGTAGTTAGTATTATAAATAATCTAGAGATTATTGAAAGTATATGGGAGGGTATGCATAGGTTGTATGAAAATACTATACCATTTTCCATCAGGCACTTGAGCATACTCAGATTTTGGTTTCCAGGGGAGATCCTAGAACCAATTTTCCATGGATACTGAGGGACAACTGTATGTATGTGTGTGTAATTTTTAAAAATAAATATAAAACCTAGAGATTTTCTAAAACCAGTGATGTGGGGCAAAAGTAAAAGCACAAGAAACTGATGAATCTCTCAGGTTTCATGGATAGTTTTTACATATGAAAGCTTGACAATCTTCCCCACAGGAATGGGACTTTATGAATGTAATTGAACCTCTTGCAACAGAGAAAGCAGATGTCTCATTCTTGTAGTGTCCCTTCTAAAAAATGGCCCTCAGCTGGCCCGTACTACCAAGCATTCCATAAGATATGCATCATGCTAAATGACTGAAGGAATTCATAACCAAGCCACTGAAGAAGGGTGTCAATTGCTACATGCACACTAGACAATACAGCAGCAGATGACCCTGCACTCAGGCTCTCTTGTCATTATTGCCTTACACCTGCCAGACTCTGGTCCTTGGTGTCCGGGAGACCAGACTTTCCACCAAGTACAGAAACAGATTGAACTATATTTTATTTCTGAGTGGAGAGCACAGATGATCCTAATTCTCCAGACCATTGTTACAAAGTGAAATTTAAAGCTAACATAGGCCGGGCACGGTGGCTCACACCTGGAATCCCAGCACGTTAGGAGGCCAAGCCGGGCGGATCACTTGAGGTCAGGAGTTTGAGACCAGCCTGGCCAAAGTGGTGAAACCCTGTCTCTACTAAAAATACAAAAATTAGCCGGGCATGGTGGTGGGCGTCTGTAATCCCAGCTACTCAGGAGGCTGAGGTGGGAGGATTGCTTGAGCCCGGGAGGCAGAGGCCACAGTGAACCGAGATTGTGTCACTGCACTCCAGCCTGGGCGACAGAGTGAGACTCTGTCTCAGTAAACAAACAAACAAACAAATAAAAATAAATAAATAATTAAAATAAAGCCAACATAGAAAGAGGCAGGGACGTGAAGACTAAAGTTGTTTTTTCTCAATTTTTTAATGACCTTGCACAAAAAAGAGAGAATTCAAGTTTGGTTAGTGAATTGGATGGAATGAGGTTTAAGAGACAACTTAAGACTGTTACAGGATGATTGTGCAGGTAACACTAACATCCTAACAGATAAGCCTTGGTGATCTCGTCTTCCTTTCCAGCATGCCAGCAGTGATGTGCTCTAGATTTCCTGCTCTCCTCCAAGCTGCTTGCTCTCTGGGTTGGTATTGCTGTATCACCAGGACCAAATGGTTTACCTCCTAGACATTCTGTAATTTGTGATCTGAAGCAGGAGATGGGCTCAAACCTGTCTGATTGATGAGTCATAAGTGCTTCCACTTAATTCCAGCAATGTACAAAGGCATTATTTGCATCACATTTAGTACTATTATTTGTGAAATGCCTACTTTTACAAGTGATTGTGTTGATTGGGGTCTTAAAGTTTCTTAAATTCCAAATAGAAAAAACTGATTCTGCCTATCTTGATGTCAAGGGGAATTTGTTGGGAGATTTTGGAGTCTCCTAGGGAATCAAAAGGGAAACAAAAGAGCCAAATAGTGGAAGGCCAGGAACCCAGGTGCCTGTTCCACGGCCTGAGCAGCCTGGCCAGGACCTTCTCCTAGGGTCCAGCCAGCTCCAAAGACTTCTAGACCTGTCTCTCAAGAACAAATGTCACAAATCCGGGGCAAGACATTGATTGGCCCAGACTGGATCAGCAGTCCACCTCTAGACCCATCAGCTACGGCTAGGGCACGAGTGGATCTAGGTTTTATGGGGACTGAAACTCACACAATTTGGAGAGCACCCCCCTTGAAATAACTAAGATGTCTGTTTTACATTGTACAAATACAATGCCCACAGCACTCCAAAGAAATCAGGACAGAAGAAATTACAAACACAAAGTGCCTACAGCCACTCTCAAGAGAGGAAGTGAGATGGAAGAAAAATCAAAGTGGGAAGAAGAGCCTGTGGTCTTAAATTGTTGTGGTTGAAGAGGTGGATTATTCGCTTTGCAATTCTTATAAAAACATCTGGCCATGTTAACACAGTTTTAGGGTCTCTCCTAAGACTTTGGAAGGAACTCATGCACTGAGGGGCACTGAAACTTTTTTTTTTTTTTTTTTTTTGAGATAGAGTCTCACTCTTTTGCCCAGGCTGAAGTGCAGTGGTGCAATCTTGGGTCACTGCAACCTCCGCCTCCCAGGTTCAAGCGATTCTCCTGTCTCAGCCTCCTGAGTAGCTGGGACTGCAGGCACACACTACCACGCCTGGCTATTTTTGTGTTTTTAGTAGAAACTGGGTTTCACCATGTTGGCCAGGCTGGTCTCAAACTCCAGTGATCCGTCTGCCTCAGCCTCCCAAAATGCTGTAGTTACAAGTGTGAGCCACCGCACCCGGCCAGGGGCACTGAAACTTAAGCATCATTTGTTTCACGGAAGGAGCAAAGTCTTTTTTTTTTTTTAAATTTAAGGATGAGGACCCTCATGGTAACTATAGGAAGAGAGCAATTCTTCAAAAAAGGGAGAGGTTGGAAAGATAGAATAACAGCAGACCACTGTCTTATCCTGCACCTGCTGCTATAACAAAATACCTTAGACTAGGTAATTTATAAACAACAGAAATTTATTTCTCACAGTTCTGGAGGCTGGAAGTCCAAGATCTAGTCACCAGCAGACTCAGTGTCTGGTGAGGGCTGCCCTCTGCTTCAGAGATGGAAACTTCTTGCTGCATCCTCACATGGCAGAAGGAAGAAATCCTTTGTCCTCACATGATGGGAGGGGCAGTGGGACTAGGGCACTCCCATCAACCTTTTATAAGGGTACTAATCCTGTTTATGAGGGCAGAAACCTAGTGACTTAATCACTTCCAAAAAGGCCCTACCTTTTACATTTTATTTTTATTTGTTATTTTTGAGACAGGGTCTTCTCTGTTACCTAGGCTAGAGTGCAGTGGTGTGATCATAGCTCACTACTGCATCCTCAACCACCTAGGCTCAAGCGGTCCTCCATCCTCAGCCTCCCAAGTAGCTGGGACTACGGGTGCACACTACCACACTCAGTTAATATTTCTATTTTTTGTAGAGATGACATCTCACTATGTTGCCCTGGCTGGTCTTGAACTCATGAGCTCAAGTTATCCTCCCACTTCAGCCTCCTAAAATGTTGGTATTACAGGTGTGAGCCACTGTGCTTGTCTAAGGACATGTTCATGTCAAGCCAAAGTTCTTTTTTTTTTTTTTTTTTTTGAGACAGAGTCTCGCTTAGTCGCCCAGGCTGGAGTGCAATGGCGCGATCTCGGCTCACTGCAAGCTCCGCCTCCCGGGTTCACGCCATTCTCCTGCCTCAGCCTCCCGAGTAGCTGAGACTACGGCACCCGCCGCCTCGCCCGGCTAATTTTTTGCATTTTTAGTAGAGACGGGGTTTCACCGTGTTAGCCAGGATGGTCTCGATCTCCTGACCTCGTGATCCGCCCGCCTCGGCCTCCCAAAGTGCTGGGATTACAGGCGTGAGCCACCGCGCCCGGCCGCCAAAGTTCTTTTTGCTCCATCATGCTACCCAGCTTACAATTTTGGACTTACAATTTTTGTGAGGATTTATGAACAGTCATTCAATCAGTATGTGTGACTAGGTCTTCTTCATAATCTCAATCAAATTATTTAATTAATGACCAAATAACTATTTTTTTTTAAGTCAAGGAAGAAAAGAATGGCCTTGCCTTTTGGAGAATCAAAGAGCCCAGAAGCCTGAATGAATCTCTTCTCAGGTGAGATTGTTGTTTGGAGTATGTGTTTAACTTGCTAATCAAAACATTTTTACATTGCAACTTGTTTTTCTTAATTTTTTTTCTCTACTAATGGCTTTGGACTGAGTTCTGTTAAACTTATGTATGCAATAAGGAAGAAAGTATTTTTGAGAGAACTTTTTCTCAATTCAAATCAGTTAAATAGTATAGTTTTTCTAATTTTCTATATATTACTGAACATATAGATGTCACAATATAAATAATTCATTAAAAGTAAATTCAAAAACATCTGTTGAAGTCTAGTTCTGTGTAGGATACTATGTTAGACCCTATAATGGATACAAAGATGAGTAAGTCATAGATCCTGCCCTTGAGAAGCCGATTCTAACCAAGATATACAGCATTTGCACAAATAAAGAAAATGCATAGTCCACATGCTCAGTGTCCTTAATGAGTCTGAGCAATTTGCAAAGAGATTTAAAGAGGAGACAGATGATATTCAGTTGTGGGGAGACGTCAAGATGCCTGGTGACAGTTGGTAAAGGAATAGGGTGCCTGGAGATGGGAACACTGCAGTTGGAGGAACAGTGGAAGAGGAGATCCAGGCAGGAAAGATATGCAACATATGTTAGCCCCGTGGGATTGAAAATAGGACCTGAAAATGAAATGGGGCCCATACTTTGGAGGATCTTAAAAGTCCAGATGAAGACTTTACATTTCATTTCACAGGATATGAAAAAACTATTGAAGGTTTTGACCATGAGAATGATATAAAAACCATTACTACAGAAAAATAATCCGACGATTGTGCTTAAAATGGATTGAAGTGGGGAAAGACCAGAGATTGGTGGAAAGTCATTAGAATGTGAACTGGGGTAGTGGTAGCAAGAATAAAGAAAATGGGATGGATGGAAGAGACATTTCATAGGCAGAATCCACAGTACTAACATTTAGTTGAAACAGGAGAGATGGAAAGAGAAACTACTGTGGTTTCCAGCTGGGGTGACTGAATAATGATGCCCTTCAAAGAAATAAGGATGTCAGAAGGGATTACGCTCAAGTACTGGTTTAAATAGGTTAAGCTTGAGGTCCTACTGGGCTTATCTGGCGAAGAAGTTCATCTGGCAGTTGAAATTTCAGTCTGGAAGGTGGGAAAGAAGTCTGGGAAAATTTAAAAAGGAGGAAAAGGAATCGTGGTTTTTGTTTGTCTGTTTTTGTTTTTTTGAGACTGAGTCTTGCTCTGTCACCCAGGCTGGAGTGCAGTGGTGTGATCTCTGCTCACTGCAACCTCTGCCTCCCAGGTTCAAGCAATTTTCTTGCTTCAGTTTCCTGAGTATCTGCGATCACAGGCGCCCACCACCATGCCTGTCTAATTTTTTGTATTTTTAATAGAGATGGGGTTTTGCCATGTTGACAGGGCTGATACTGAACTCTTGACCTCAAGTGATCTGCTGACCTTAGCCTCCCAGTGTTGGGATTACAGCGTGAGCCACCGCACCTGGACAAAAAAAAAAAAAGGAGTTTCTTAAGTTGCATAAAGTTGCATAAGTTAAAGAATGATACTGTTTTTTTTCTTTCTTTCTTTCTTTTTTTTTTTTTTTTTGAGATGGAGTCTTGCACTGACGCCCAGGCTGGAGTGCAGTGGCTCGATTTTGGCTCACTGCAACCTCTGCCTCCCGGGTTCAACTGATTCTCCTGCCTCAGCCGCGCGAGTAGCTGGGATTACAGGTGCCCGCCACCATGCCCAGCTGCTTTTTGTATTGTAAGTACAGATAGGGCTTCACCACATTGGCCAGGCAGACCTCGAACTCCTGACCTCGTGATTCATCTGCCTTGACCTCCCAAAGTGCTTGGATTACAGGCGTGAGCCACCGTGCCTGGCCAAAGTGTGATACTGTTATACACTTTCTCTATTTAGATATTAGAAGGGATTGTAGGATTCTGGGAGCTGCCAGTCAAGGGATATAGAGGCATAGGGAAAATTAATAGGAATTGGATCCTAGAAAGACAGGTCATAGCAAGGGGAAATATCCAGATTAGAAAAGCATTGCAAAATGCTGTTCAGAAAAAGCGAACTCCTACCTGGGGATATTCACAAACCCGTGGTGGGCCATGCTGTGTTTCTTAACTCGCTGGGGAGGGACCTTTTCTCACTGCCCTTTCTGTCATTCTCACCCTATCTCCCAGTTTGAGCAAGAGGACCTATGAGTTCTCTTCCAAACCTAAATTTCATTATTAATTTAACTTCCTTTCTTACAAAAAAAAAAAAAAAGCTTAGGAAGTTTCTTTTTCCTAAACACATTGCAAATTTGCTTTGTAGAATTTTAACCTTAGGGCCAATTATTCTGGATAAGAAAATTGTTGGACAGTGGCCACAGTAACTAATGTTCTTAAAGATGTTTAAGTTCAAGGTTAAGGAGTTAGCTATAGTGTTCCTGTCAGAGTTCTCAGGGCTTTGGAGGGTCTGATTATATTTGAAGCTAAACATCAAAAAATTTACCAAGACAGAGTTGTCTAATGTGTTCTATTTAGCATTGCAAACCATAGCTTAAAATGCGCATGGAGACCCCTTTAAAATGCTGGCACTGGAGAAGGAACCAACAGCCTGTGTAGCTGAATTCCTTTCACCAGATTTCTTAAGGGGTGCTGCTGGCATTTGTGTGGTACCATTTGTACTTGTGCAGAATGGGGCCACACACTGTGAAACTTCAGCTTCCCTGGCTTTTGTCCACTAAGTGCCAGTAATGCTCCCCATTTATTGTGGCAACTAAAAAACACCACTACATATTTTCTTTTTAAAAAATGTTACTTTATTTATGTTAAGTTCTGAGATACGTGTGCAGGAGGTGCAGATTTGTTACATAGGTAAATATGTGCCATGGTCACCATGCATTTTCATGGAACTACCTGGCTACTTCCAGCTCTCAACACACTTGTCAAATGGTCAAGATTTGTTTCCATTTCTCCCATTCTGTGCTCTTTCTCCCTTCTCTGTGCTGTCTTCTCTCTAGCCTTCCCTAGTATCTCAGTCTGTTTTCTGTTGTATATAACAGAATACCTGAAACTGGTTAATTTATAAGGAAAAGAATGTATTTCTAACAGTTATGGACACTGAGAAGGCCAAGGTCAAGGAGTTGTATCTGCTGAGAGCCTTCTTGCTGGTGGGGACACTCAGCAGAGTTCCTAGGCTGTGCAGGACATCACATGGCGAGAGGACTGGGCATGCAAGCTCAAGTTGTCTGTCTACTTCTTCTTATAAAGCCAGTTCCATCCCCATGATAACACATTAACCCACTTATCCATGAATTGATTCATCCATTTATGAAGGCAGAACCCTCACTACCCAGTCACCTCTTAAAGGCCCCACCTCTCAATACTGCCATACTGGGGATTAAACTTCAATGTAAGTTTTGGAGGAGACAAATATTCAAACCACACCACCTAGCAAGCATCCTTGCTCTTCCCGTAAATTTTATGTTTGGGTTTTTACTGATAACACATTGTGATAATTCCTTCCTTCCTTCCCTCCCTCCTTCCTTCCTTCCTTCCTTCCTTCCTTCCTTCCTTCCTTCCTTCCTTCCTCTCTCTTTCTTTTCTTTCTTTCTTTCTTTGGCGGAGTCTAGCTTTGTCACCTAGGCTGGAGTACAGTGGCTCGATCTCAGCTCACCACAACCTCTGCCTCCCGGGTTCAAGCGATTCTCCTGCCTCAGCCTCCTGACTAGCTGGGATTGCAGGCACCCGCCACCACACCCGGCTAATTTTTTTGTATTTTTGGTAGAGACGGGGTTTCACCTGTTTGTCAGGCTGGTCTCGAACTCCCGGTCTTGTAATCCACCTGCCTCGGCTGGTGGTGGTCCCAAGTGCTGGGATTACCAGCGTGAGTCACCGTGCCCGGCACTTTGTGATAATTTAATAATACAGATTTAAAATGGTTATTCCTTTGGTGGGATTTCCATTTTAGCAGGCATGAAAGCCAGCAGCTCCAGGAAAAAAGTTCTATTTGGAGAATTTTGTTGTAACAGCTTTACTGAGGTATGATTGACACACAATAAACTGTGCATATATGTTTTATCATATCTATCTCCCCATGAAACCATTACCACAATCAGTATGTATCACCCCCCTCGTCTCTACACTGTGCCCTGGAGACTTTTTTCAAGGCAGTAAACTGGGGCAATCGTTAGGTCTCACCTTGATTATTTCCCATCTACTAGGGCTCATTGTCTTTCATTGCCTGGTGTCTAGTGTCCTGAAGTCTATTTTTGCATATATTTTATCCAATTTTTGGTTGTTTCAGGTGGGAGGGTATATAGGGTCCCATCTTGGCTGGAGGCAGAAAAAACTAGTAAAATTTTAGGTTTATACCCATATATAAAGAAGAGGATTTGGACTGGTGTTAGATCCTTCCTGGAGTCCGTGATGGTTCTGGAATTTCTATAAAAAAGATCTTTGGGGCAGCAATAGAGGAGGTTAGGGAATTCATTTACCTAGACTGTATGTCTATGTGGGGTAGATTGAAACTCTTTTTTCTTTAGCAGGCACAAATACATTGCTTTTATGTGGCATAGATATTTATTTGTACTGGCTCACTCAGGGGAAGACTATTGGAGATCCCAGGGAGTGGGGGCACTAAAGTCTCCCCTTCTTTTGGCTTTTGCCTTTGGGAGCCTGCTGTTTCAGGCCAACTCGTCAATTTCATTTCCAGATTATATTAATGAAGATAATCCCGAAGTTCAGAAGGACCTCGATTATCAAAGATTCATGTATGCGTACTATTCTGCCTTTTCTACAAAGACAAAACCACACACTTTTAGAAAACTTTCTTAACAAAGTTAAATATCCCATACAAGGTTAGTTAGAGAAGTCAATTGAATATGAGATCTCATTTGCCCCCAGCAGTCCTTCTGTGTAAAGTTAAATAGACTGTAGGGGCTTGAATTTGCTTACCAGAAAGTTAGAATCTAGGATACTCATTGCTGCTGCTTCTTTTCTTCCTCTTCTTCTTTTATTTCTTTTTTGAG